AAGCAGCCATCTTCATCAGTAAGCTGTTGTCACTGCTTCTGGCTCTAGAGCCAAGTCACACCTGCCACAGCCTGTATGATAGAATGGATGCCTTATGCCCTTCTTCCTGATACCCAGGAAACCTGTGACTGGACAGAAGGACTTCAGAAAACACGGCTGCACAAAACCTGTATATCTCCGTGACAGCATTTAATAGTTGCAGCAGCCTCAGTACAACCTCCCTTCTCTTCTGCTCTCCAAATTTCTAGCGAATGCATCTGATTGGTGGAATTTAAATCATATCCGCAGCCCTAACTGCAAGAAAGACCTGGGAATGTAGTTTTTAGCTTTCTAGTGTCTGCAGTACAGGAGGTCATATACCAAGGGATGTTGAAATGGATGACGACCACTCATCGACCATATCTACCACAGATACAGATCCTGATTCTCCTCAAGGCTAGCCATTATCAAATGGTCTATATAGATAAATTGAGAAAGATTACAAGTAATACTATCAAATAATATTGAGAAACTTTTAAGTATTTGTTTTCAGTATATTTTATTGTTTATAACGACATATTAAAAAAATATCGAAAATTTGTGCTCTACCTATGTGATGAATGTAGTGGTCTGTGGATGCCAGAAGTTTTCTTTACATTTAAAGTGTTGATAGGGGATGAAAAGTCGGAAAGATGGAATAACAAAAATGTTAGAATAGGTTATCTAAACTGAGGAAAGGTTGGTGTTATCAAATACTGAAGCATGGTCACGGGGCGCCTGGGTGGCTCAGTTGGTTAAGCGACTGCCTTCAGCTCAGGTCATGATCCTGGAGTCCCAGGATCGAGTCCCACATCGGGCTCCCTGCTCAGTGGGGAGTCTGCTTCTCCCTCTGACCCTCCTCCCTCTCATGCTCTCTGTCTCTCATTCTCTCTCTCTCAAATAAATAAATAAAAAATCTTAAAAAAAAAAAATACTGAAGCATGGTCAGATAAGGTGGGAACTGACAGCAGTCTTTGATTTGGTGGTACTTAATATTGTTAGCATTTTAGGGGCACCTGGATGACTCAGTCAGTTAAGCATCCAACTCTTGGTTTTGCCCCAGGTCATGACCTTGGGGTAGTGGGATCCAGCCCCACCTCAGGCTCCACGCTTAGCGCAGAGTCTGCTTGAGATTCTCTCTCCCTTTGCCCCTCTCCCTGTGTGCATGTACGCATGCTCTCTCTCAAATAAATAAAATACTAAAAAAAATATTAGTGTTCTTGAAGGTTCTAGTAAAGAACTAGAATCAGAGGCCCAATTGCAGGTTCAGGCTGTGAGTAGGAAGAAAAGGAGCAGAGTTTATAGAATAAGTTTTCAAGGAGCAGTAGTTGTATTTCCTTCCTTCCTTTAATTAGAGCATAGTGGAGGCCCTATACAAATACCACACACGAGACAAGTACAGCCTTTCAAAATTCCTCACTTTTGTCTCTGTGTAGCTTGATATAAAGTGTGTACTATTAAGATAATCTCTTTCTGCTTAGAGATATAATGGATGCAGCATTTTTTATTAGTTCTCTAACCGTTCATTATTTCACTTTCAATTATTTTTGTATAGAGTGGCAGTTAATTATTCTGATTTATGTTTTTTATAAAGTGCCAGTTAATTACTATAGTTTAAAGTATTGGTAGCTGACTTGATCGCATATTTGTATGATTAGTGAACTGGGCATTGATTAGATGAATTCACCTTCAGTGTAGTTTATTAAACATAGCTTAAAAAAAAACCATAGCTTAGTGACATATTCAATGAGTACAGATTATGATAACTGCTTTTATAGGAAATGTTGAGTGTGTTTCGTATATTACATAGACCTTACGTTTTTACTTATTCTAAGTAAATATCTGATAATGGCTAGTTCATTGGATTCTGCACACAAAATAATCCCTGTTATATCCCCCTTAAAAAGGTGGGTGGTAGAATAGGTATACATTTGTACAGTGTGGTTTTCTCACACTGCACTTATGTGAATGAAATGGGAACCTGTTCAAGGGCAGTGATTTAGTGTTCCAAATTCCTTCATTAGATATTAATTCTTAATTTGCTTACATTCTAGGCACCTTATGGTGACCTAGTTGGATTTTGGGTTTAAAAAAAACACAGATTAGGGCGCCTGGGTGGCTCAGTTGGTTAAGCGACTGCCTTCGGCTCAGGTCATGATCCTGGAGTCCTGGGATCGAGTCCCGCATCGGGCTCCCTGCTCGGCGGGGAGTCTGCTTCTCCCTCTTACCCTCTTCCCTCTCGTGCTCTCTGTCTCTCATTCTCTCTCTCAAATAAATAAATAAAATCTTTAAAAAAAAAAAACACAGATTATACGGAGAGGAGACATCAAAGAAGAAGAAAAGACTTAAAGGAGAAGAAGATTGAGAGTAATGAAAACAGAATCGGTGGACAGTGTTGTGGGATGAGAGCGAGGGAATTGGGTAGAGAGAGCTCAGGAAGATGGATGAGATTTGGATAAGAGAAGGGACATCTAGTCTTTAGGAAGAGGAGAATGGATGGATACAAATTCAAATATATATTAGTTTTTCCTGTTTGGAAACTGATATATTTGTAAAGGTCAACCCATATTAGTCAATTTTTGAGTCATTTGAAAGATTCCTGATGCTGACTTGAGTTGAACATAGTATGTTTATTCTGTTTAAGTGGTAACTTGATATTTTTTTAAATCTCCCAATGACAAACTTTATGAGTATCTTGTGCCTTTCCACTGACTTTCTCATTGCAATAAAAAAATGGTTTATTGAGTTTTTCATAGGTGCTTCTTAAGTTTCTGATAGGCTTTGTTAAAATACATTGGTTTAAATGGCCTTTAGTTTTAAACTTGATAAGCAGACAGAGACTCAAGTTTATCTAGCCCAAATTGTCCTCAGGAAAGCTGTGCTTTAGTGATTTGTCTGAAGCCATTTAGCCACTTAGTAATAGAGGTAAAACAGAAACATTAGTTTCATGATTCTTAGGGCAGTGCTATTTCCCTTATGCCAACTGCCTTACTTTCCTAATTGAGTACACTGGTGTCTGATTTCAGCACACTTCTGTGTGCTTTTGGCTCACGAGCATTTCACAAGAACTTCAAAACTAGACTTACTAGCTTCTTTAATATTCATTCAAGTGTCTACTGTATGACAGTCATGGTTTTAGATTTTGGTGATTAACAAGTTCTCAGACCTTGAGAATGAGAGATGCAGAAAAGAAATACGTAAAAATTACTAGTTTCGGATAGTTATAAATGCTATCAAGAAAACAGAGAAATAGATTATGGTAGCAGGATTATCTACTTGAGACAGAATAGTCAGGGAAGGTTTCTCTGAGGAAGCGACATTTAAGCTGAGACCTGAATGATAAGCAGAGCCAGCCATGTGAAGTTGTAGGGGTAGAGCATTCCAAATAGAGGCCTTAAGCTTGAATGAACTTGGCATGGTTGATGAATGGAAAGAGGGTGAACACTGAGGAGAGTGGGAGGAAAAGAGGCCGGAGAGAAGACAGTGGAGCAATGTAGACCATGAAAATGGGAATTTAGAAATGGGATTGGATTCTAAGTAAAATGGAATGGTTTTGGAGCAGGGGAGTCACTGCCCTGAAGAATATGTCTAGATGGGGGCGCCTGGGTGGCTCAGTCGTTAAGTGTCTGCCTTCAGCTCAGGTCATGATCCCAGGGTCCTGGGACTGAGCCCCACATTGGGCTCCCTGCTCAGCGGGGAGTCTGCTTCTTCCTCTCCCTCTCCCCCTGCTTGTGTTCCCTCTCTCTCTGTGTCTCTCTCTGTCAAATAAATAAATACAATCTTAAAAAAAAAAGAATATGTCTAGATGATCACACTGGTGTAAAGTGGGTTGTAGGGGAATACCAGTGAAGGCAAGGAGAAGTGGTTGGATTTGGGATATATTTTAGAGGTTTGCTGGAATTACCGATGGACTGGATGTGGGGGAGGTTTTGGGAGGAAGATGGTGGTAGACTGGGGGAAGAGCATTGTTTTAGGGGAGGAAATCAGATGGTTTGTCTGGGACTTGATAAATTTGAGATGCCTACTGGATATCCAAGGAGGCAGTTGGATATTCACATCTAGTGTTGAGGAGGAGAGATCAGGCCTGGAAATGGAGACCTAAGAGACATCAGCATTAACACCATACTGAAGGAGTTTGCACAGGGAAAGAAGAGAAGATGGTCCAGAACTAAGCCCTGAAGCATTGCAATATTTAGAGGTGAGGAGGGAAAGAGGTAGGCAGAGGGCCAGGGATATAGGAGGAAAGCCAGGAATATTGTATTTTGGGAGCCAAGAAAAGGGCATTTTAAAGGAGGGATGTTAGTGTTCACTTTTACTTAATAGTGCCGCCAGATCAGGTATGATGAGGACAGAGAAATGGCCATTGGATTTGGCAATATGGAAAGCATTGGTATCCCTCACTAGAACAATTGCCATGTCATCATAGAGTTAGAAGCTGACTGGGGAGAGGGTTGAAGAATGGATGGAAGGTGAGAAATTAAAGACAATGTGACTAGAAATCACTGCTTTTGAGAAGATTTGCTATGAAAGGGAGTCTAGAAGTGGAATACCACAAGGGAAGAGGTGGAGTCAAGGGAGAGTTTTTTTCTTTCTGTGCTTTTTTTTTTAATTGGGAAATATTAAAAGCTTGTTTATGTGCTGATGGGAGTGATCCACTAGTAAGGAAAATTAATGATGATGCAGGAAAGGGATTAATTGTGGAGTTAAGTCCTTGAGGTGGCTGGTGATTCGGCTGGAGAGCACAAGTGGGGGGATTGCCCTTTCTAGAAGCAGGGAAACCATGGTATAATATGACCTCACACTCCCCTTTACACACAGCTCTTCTCTTCAGTCTCACTGGACCAAGTTGATCACCTGCTTTCTGTAATCACTAGGGTTTTTTTTTGTGCTATGTCTTACATGTTCTTTTGGATTGATTGTATAAGGTTTAGCATGAAGCAGCTGGTGGTATTTAACACCAATTTCAATTTTTGTGCCAACAGGTGAAGCGAAAAATTTATTGCCATATCTTGGACCCAACAAAATGAGAGATTGTTTCTGCACCATAAATTTGGACCAGGAAGAGGTTTATCGTACCCAAGTTGTTGAAAAGTCTTTAAGGTTTGTTAAAAAAATTGGTAAATTATCTTTCATATGATATATATTGATTAATAAATTTTATACATTTTCCAGACTGTAATCATCAAAAAGACTTTCTTTATCTGAAACTTTTCTTTTACATTCTGGATTTGTTTTTAGAATTACAGAATCTCGGTGTTTGAAGGAGCCTTAATGTTTATTGAGCTGGAGTAATCAACTGTCTTATGCTTGGTTCCTTCTGACAATTATCGTTGACAAGCAGTCATCTGACATTTGCTTAATAATGTTCATTCCAGTGACCAAAGAGTTCATTGCCTCCTAAGCAGCCTATTTGGTCTTAGAACAATTCTGACTCTTAGAAAGTTCTTACATTTAGTCAATTAGTATCTATCAAAAGGAGAACCTACTGTAGGCCAAGAGCTTGCTGGGTGCTATTTATTCAAACATCCAAGAGAGCAAGATAAATGCAGTGCTTGCTTTCATGTGGCTTTTCATTGCTTCAAAATGTATCTTCCTTTTAATTGTTGCTAATTCTATCCCTTGGATTTCTGGAGAACACACCTCAATCCATATTTGACATGACATCTTCCAAGTTTTTGAAAACAACTATCATATACCTCAGTTTGTTCTCTAGGCTAAGTTTTGCCTATTCATTTGAACTTTTCTCAGAGTACATCATTGTTTTATTTCTCTTGAGAATAAATTACTTCTTAAAGTTATACAAGTCACTGAACTAAGTAGGGCATTGTAAGGGAATGAATTCTTGGGTAAATTTCTCATCTTTTGAAAGTGTAATAGCACTCAGAGTATCCTAGTATATTCTAATTCATAAAATTGGAGTGTGCCACCTCTGCCCTGTAATAGTGTTTGTGGACATAATTCTAGCACAGAGCTGTGCTGGCAGGATGCGGTCGTGGTCAGAGATAAGAGTCAAAACAAGGGCATGGGGAGTTGTCGGAATGAACGTGTGGTGGGTGAAGTACTGAATGTCATGACTCCTGTAAATTGCGTTTTGGGTATTTATTTTTTGATGCTCTTTTTTTCATAATCTTTTTTCGTTACGCTCCCCCCCCTCCTTTTTTTTTCCTCTGGAGCTTTTCCCTTTGTGTCTTTATTGTCAGTGTTTATAATTTTGAATGTCTATAGTGTTCTTCATAGGAAAGGCATTGTATAAAGCTGAAAATACTTAGTAGCCCCCCAAAATTTGAAGTAATACACTTCACATCTTTAGTCATAAATCACCTGTCGCTGTTCTTTTAGAATTCTGTTATTTATATGTTATACGTGATGAAACTGAGTCACCAAAAGGCTGAATAATTTGTGCATATAATATAGGAAGTTAGGAGCAAAACGGAGATTGGAACCTGAAACTGTCTCAGTTTCAGTTTGTTACTTAATGTACACTGATTCCATATCGCACAAAAATCAGTGATATACAAAGCTAGTAATTGTCCATAAATTGAATACTTGTGGTAGTTTCTAATATGTAGCTTTGTAAGTTAGTAACTAAAATTAGCTTACTTTTTCTTTCTTAAACCCCTGCCTTTCTAGATATTTGTGTTGGGAAAAGATGATGAAACATTATTTTTATCCATCTTAAATTATTTTCTAGATACTTAGCAACTTGGAAGATATTTTAAGACTTAGGTTATTTCAATAGTTAGACTAGGTGCTTCTTGGATTCTAGGTGACCCCTAGCACTTTTCCTTGCAGAATAAGGTGAAAGAATGTGTAATATAAACCCTTGCTGACCTTGCTTTCATGTCAGTGTTTTCTTCCCTTATTGTGATAAGCTATCAAGTCAAGAGTCAGTAGATACCATTTAGATCTTTATGGGTTCTGGATATTATAGTTTTTATAGGTAGTCTGGATATAGAGTTTTCGTAACGGGTAAGGAAGAGTGACATATAGAATCTATAGCTCATAAGTTTTTACCTCAAATTCTTTTAAAAAGTGAGTGGTATATAAACAGCCATACTGCTTATGCCCAGTGCTTTTCTTCCCCATGCCAGGAATTTCCTTAGGAGTCATGTATGATCATATGTCAGTGATAGCAATAGAATGTTGTTTTTAAAACTATGTCTCATCATGCTCCTTACCAACCCATTGAAAAGTTTTCTTCAGATGGATTGATTAATTAATAATTAAATTAAGTAAAGATGTGGGCGCCCAGATGTGGGGATTGTCGACATTGTGGTGATACAGTGATACAGATGACTTAGTGAATAATTCTGTAGTGTTCTTACTTGGTTTTAGAATGTATTTTAAAAATAATATTTGAGGGACGCCTGGGTGGCAGTCGGTTAGGCGTCGGACTCTTGGTTTTGGCTCACGTTGTGGTCTCAGGGTGGTGAGATCGAGCCCAGTGGCCGGCTCTGCGCTTAGCTTGGAGTCTACTTAAGACCATCTCTCCCTCTCCCTCTGCCCCCCCCCAAATAAATAAATAAGTCTTAAAAAATAAAATAAATGAAAATAATATTTGAATATGTACATGTGATATATAAAGGAAATTCTTCATTTTATAATTGTTTATAAAATGATGCAAAGGAGAAAATACTTAAATATGTCATGTCTTTGCCTAATAGTTTTTTTTTTTTTTTAAGATTTTATTTATTATTTGACAGAGACACAGCGAGAGAGGGAACACAAGCAAGGGGAGTGGGAGAGGGAGAAGCAGGCTTCCCGTGGAGCAGGGAGCCCGATGCGGGGTTGGATCCCAGGACCCTGGGATCATGGCCTGAGCCGAAGGCAGACGCTTAACGACTAAGCCACCCAGGCGCCTCCTAATAGTCGTTTTTGTGTCAATTTTTATGTTGAGATTAATAGAGGACTCTAGTTATTTTGATAGACCAACTTTTTAAAAGATTTTATTTATTTATTTATTTATTTATTTATTTATTTATTTATTTGAGAGAGTGCACATGGGGAGAGAGTGGAGGGAGAGAATCTTAAACAGACTCCACAATGATCGTGGAGCTGGGAGCCCTGTGTTGGGCTCCATCCCATGGCCCTAGATCATGACCTGAGCCCAAACCGAGAGTTGTGGACGCTTAACTCACTGAGCCACCCAGGTGCCCCATTGATAGACCAACTTTTAAAAGTTTATTTTGATTACATTTGAAGTAAAAAATACATTGACGGGTGCCTGGGTGGCTCAGTTGGTTAAGCAACTGCCTTCGGCTCAGGTCATGATCCTGGAGTCCCGGGATCGAGTCCCACATCGGGCTCCCTGCTGAGCAGGGAGTCTGCTTCTCCCTCTGACCCTCTTCTCTCTCGTGCTATCTCTCATTCTCTCTCTCTCAAATAAATAAATAAAATCTTAATAAAAAAAAATACATTGACAAATAAAATCTTAAAAAAAAAAAAACATACATTGACAAAAGTTGACCAGGCATTATAAACAACTAAAAAGCTGAGTCAACTGTTTTCTGGACAAGATTGAAATAACTTCTGTAAGAGTATTTTTCTTTGCATTTCAGCTTCTTTTTAAGTCGTGACATCCTAAAGAGGTTGCGTTTTATGGTGACATTTTCAAAGTATCCTTTAGTTCTTTAAGCATTCTCAGGAAAGAGGTGCTCTTAACAAAAGATATTTACTAGCATTTTAGAGATTCATGTCTCCATAGAATCTAAACATCAAAATAACATTCTTAAACATCTAAAAATGAGCTGTTTCATAGGAAAAAGTCTTAGCAGCTTGGGGATAGGCAAAGATTTCTTAGGATGCAGAAATCACTAGTCATAAAAGAGGAAAATTGATAAACGGGATTTCATCAAAATCAGAGCCTTTTGCTCTTCAACAGACACTGTCAAGAAAATGAAATGGTAAGCCACAGTGGGAGAAAAGATTCTGACAAAGGACTTGCATCTAGAATTTATTTAAAAACAAAAACAAAACCAATAAGAAGAAAGCCCATTTAAAAAAGTGGGGAAAAACTGAACAGCTATTTCCCAAAAGAATATATATACAAATGGCCAGCAAGCACATGAAAAAATATTCATCATCATCAGTCATCAAGGAAATGCAGTTTAAAATCATTTCTGTCACGGGGCGCCTGGGTGGCTCAGATGGTTAAACGTCTGCCTTCGGCTCAGGTCATGATCCCAGGGTCCTGGGATCGAGTCCCACATCAGGCTCCCTGCTCCTTGGGAGCCTGCTTCTCCCTCTGCCTCTCTCTCTCTCTCTGTCTCTCATGAATAAATAAATAAAATCTTTAAAAAAAATGGTGTTTTATGAAAAATGTGGCCATGTCTCCTAACAACTGAGTCTCAAGTACTGTTTCTCGAAACAGCCACGGTACCTCAGTACTCCCGTGGACGTGCTTTCTGCCTACTTCCCATTTCCTCACACAAAGGATTAAAAAGTTGTGTGCTCGAGTATCTAGATTTAATAAAATTAATAATGTTTAAAAAAAATAAATAAATAAAATCATTTCTGTCACTATAGATTCTTGAACATAATGTGTCATGATCGAAATCAGATTACTGGTTCCTGTGACAGTATGGAGAAGGTGATTGCACAAGGGAACTCTCTGGGGAGATAGAAATGTTCTGTATCTTGATTGGGGTAGAGGTTACACAGATGTAAAGATTTATCATATCACATTCAGTAGAATAGCTAATTTTAAAGACTTTCAGTAGCAAAAGTGGACAATGATATGGAATAACTGGAGCTCTCCTGCATTGCTGGTAAAAGTAAATGCTACATATTTGTTTGGGCCACAAATGTGGGAAAACAATTGGACAGTTTCTTATAAATTAAAAATTCACCTACCTTTTTTTTTTTTTTTAAAGATTTTATTTATTTATTTGAGAGAGAGAATGAGATAGAGACAGAGAGAGCATGAGATGGGGGAGCATCAGAGGGAGAAGCAGACTTCCTGCTGAGCAGGGAGCCCGATGTGGGACTCAATCCCGGGACTCCAGGATCATGACCTGAGCTGAAGGCAGTCGCTTAACCAACTGAGCCACTCAGGCGCCCTCACCTACCTTTTAACTTAGCAATTCCACTCTTCTAGTTACCTATCTAAAAATATTGAAAACATATGTTCAGAAAAAGCCTTGTATAAAAATGTTTATAGCAGCTTTATTTTTAATAGCCCAAACTGGAAACAACTCACATGACTACTAGGAGAATAGATTGTGGAATATTCATGAATGGAATATTCAGCAATTAAAGCAAATGAACTACTTATATACACAACAAAATGGAAAAATCTCATAGTTGTTAAACTGAGTGAAGAAGCTAGGCACAAGAGTACATACTATTTAGTTCCATTTATATGAAATTCTTAGATCTATGTAATACTGCAGAGGAGTATAAGGGAACTTTATGGGGAGATAGAAATGTTACTATATCTTGATTGGGACGGAAGCAACACAGGTTTATAAATTTATCAAATCTTTAACCACTGTATTTCATTTTTTTTAAAGATTTTATTTATTTCAGAGAGAGAGCACACATGTGCGTGAGCAATGGGAGAGGCAAAGGGAGAGGGGGAGAGAGAATCTTAAGCAGGCTCCACACCCAGCTCATGAGCCCCATGCAGGGCTGATCTCATGACCCAGAGATCATGACCTGAGCAGAAACCAAGTGACTGAGCCATCCAGGCACCCCAATCATTTAAATTAGATTTTATTACATGTAATTTATACCTTAATAAAGTTGATTTTTTAAAAACCCTGTTTTTTAAAAAAAAAAAACCCATTTTAGTTTCTTAAAATTACTTTAAAATAATGCTTTACATAACATTACCCATTTGTGTTATGTATTATTGTGATTAATATAGCTATACATACTTCTGAGATGATGATGGGTGTGCATGACATTATCCTGAACTCTCATTTGTGTCCACTTTAGGTGAACAAGACCCCAGGCAATAACTGGGTCTTCTGTCCTTAGGACTCCTAAAAAGCTGTTCAGAGCTTAACCTGGCAATTGAGGTCCTCTCAGAGTTCAGCTTGGTTTGTACAGGATTTAGTTGTAATTTAGCATAGAGAATAATTTTGGAGCTTTTGAAACTTTCCCTATGGTGTTTTAGTCTGTAATTTGTTTTATTGAAAATACTATATGAGGACACTGTCAGATTTAAATTTAATGAACTTTCCTCTTTTCTCTCTAGCCCATTTTTCAGTGAAGAATTTTACTTTGAGATTCCAAGAACTTTCCAGTATTTGTCTTTCTATGTTTATGATAAGAATGTTTTACAAAGAGATCTTCGTATAGGTATGTACTATTCATAATTATCTTTAATCACAGCATTAGTGTTTATATTCATTCTTTCACTAAGTATAAAGTGTTGAAAACAACAGAATAACAGAATAATACATGCTCAACATTTCTAATCCTTTTCTTTAGTCTTCAAGTTCATTTGTGAGTCTCATTTTTAATTTGTATGCTCAGCTTCGGTAACACTTTGGAAGTATCTTGACTGATTCCCCCCCGCCCCCAGTCATGGTGTCATATGTTTCCAAAATACCTGATGGGGCATTTTCCATAGTATTCCATAGTATTCATTACACTTGTTCATCAGTTTGTTGTTTAATATCTAGACTCTCTAGTTGAATATGATATTTATGAAGATAGAGATTGTCGCTCCAGAGTGCCTTACATTTAGTAGATGTTTGGTAAGTATTTGCTGAATGGTTCAAAGAATGTTTTTATACAAAGATCACAGTGTTCGATCCCCCAAAGAACATATATTTTTCAAGTTTTTCACTAGAAGTAATAATTTGCTTCTTATTTGACATGTGTTTTTCTTTCTGGCTGTGTTGGTGACCATTAACTCTGTTTCTTAAATAATTGTCTAAGGCTGGGGTGTGATCTATGGGCATGGAGTAGAACAAAGCTAAATGGACACACATGTGTCATCGTGGTCTTTGCTCCAGTGTCTATATTTTAATAACAGGTAGAGGTCTACCATTTACATGTATTATCCTCTCACTTTTTAGTATCATGAATTTTGTCATCCCTTTCTCTCTTTTCTGATTTGAAAAGTCTTCCACAGTTTAAATGATTAAGCTTTATTTGACTTTGTCCTCTTAACTACCACCTAATTTGTTTCCTCCGCTTTTGCTCCTGAACTCCTTAACAAGTGGTTTGTATCCTTCTGCTTACTGCTTCTTTTTTTTAAAATCTTTGTAATCTTGCTTCTACATTTTTCTGACAAACCTTTTTTGAAGTTTGTCAGAATCATTTTAGAGGAAATCAAATAGCCTTTCAATAAACAGTATATATATTTAATTATAAAACTATTACATGTTCTTAGTGACTAGTAGTGACTGTGAACAGGAATAACAACAGTTAATAATTTGTGTGTTTCTTCCCATTCTTTATGCATTTGTATTATTACATTGCACTATTCAGTTTTTTCCTTTTTTTCATCTAATGATCCTTTTCCCCTGTCATAAAGTATTTTCCAAAAATATTTGTTAAATAATACCCTTTGTAAAGAAATGTATTATTTGAGCTACTTCTTTGTTGGTGAACAATTATGTTTTCAGATTTTTGGTGCTCTTAATGGTGTTGCTATGAACATCCTTTTTTTAATTTTTTTAAAGATTTTATTTATTTATTTGACAGAGAGAGAGATAGCGAGAGCAGGAACACAAGCAGGGGGAGTGGGAGAGCGAGAAGCAGACTTCCTGCCGAGCAGGGAGCCTGATGTGGGACTCGATCCCAGGACCCTGGGATCATGACCTGAGCCGAAGGCAGACGCTTAACGACTGAGCCACTCAGGCGCCCTATGAACATCCTTCTTGCATAAACTGTTGCTTGTCTCTTTTTCTTAGAATAAATTCCTAGAAGTGAAAATACTGAATTAAAGGGTATCAATATTTTTAAAATTTCTTCTCTCTCTGTTTTTTACATTTGCCCCCAGAAATACTTTATTAATTTAAATTCCCCCAAACATGGCATGGGCATAATCATTTCACCATGCCCTGGTTATTCTTGGATATTAGCTTTGAAAAATTTTTTTCCCAATTTGACAGGTGAAAAATAATATTTTTTTAACTGTATTTTTCTGATTATCAGTGAATTTGAGGAATTTTTCATGTGTTTATGTCTTTTACATTTTTCTTCTATGAACTAGTTTTTCATTCTTATGCCTATTTTTCATTTGGATGGATTTCGTTGTTCTTATGCATACTTATTTGTTAAATATGTTAACTTTTGTCAGCTGTATACTTAACAAATACTTTTTTCTTTGTCACAAAAGGCATTTTTGGAGTGCTGAATCCTTATCTGCCTCTGTCATATTTGACTCGTTTGATTATTTATTCAACTTGTTGAAAGCCAAGGAAAATACAATTTAATGACTTTGTATTTTCCTAGTTGTCTTTCTTCTTCTGACTTCTTTATTTATATGCGGACTCTTCTCTTTCTAGAAAACCCTCAATTATGAATCACTCCTGAGGCCCCATCCTCAATTCAATTAAACAGCCATTTACAGACACTTCTGTGTGGCATATAAAGGATGGGAATACTAAGATGAGTAAGACTCATGTTATTCCCAGGCTATCAAAGAGGCACACTTATACTCTAATTTGTTATAATTGGATCTTTGCTGGAGGTCTGAACAGAGTACTTGGGAGAACAGGTAATCTTGTTTGGTGGAGGATTAACAGACTACTTAGGAAAAGGAAGAAATTTCCAGGTAATAGGGATTAGCAGAATTAGAGGATAAAAAATAAATCATGTTTGTGGTGTATCTGTTGGAATATATAAATTACTTAGGAAGAGGGCAGTAGAAATAAGCAGGGACTATAAATTGGGGCCAATTTGTGATGGACCCTGAAGGCTGTGCTAAGGATTTTGGACTTTATCCTAAGACAGTAGTGCTGAGCCTTTTAAGAATGAGAAACCTTTTAAAAATTACATGTAACTATATATACATGAATACTTTCGTGGTTTAACAACTTTCTGTGGCAGACAGTGGTACTTCCAAAGTCCAAACTCAGTGTCTATAGATTACATATGTAAAATGTATATGTATGTAATTATATGTAACTGTATATATTCTTTTAAAGTATATATACACACACTTTACATATGTAATCTATAGTTTATGGTTTAGAGAGATTAGAGTCAGGGAGGCTATTATCAGATGAGATGCAAAGGGCAATAGCGGTGGGAATGCGGATGAGGGAATGTACTTCACTGGAGGAGCTGCAGGTAGGATTTGAGGACTTTAAGGGGAGAAAGGGATGTGAGAAAGGAAAGGGTTAAAAAGAATCTTGTTTCTATGGCTGTCATTAACTGAGATAAAGAACACTGCAGGACCATTCAGTTTTGAGTGGGGGATGGGAAGAGGAGAGGATGACTTTGATTTCAAACAAGTTAAACTTGTATTACCTGGGGAACATCTTGGTGGACTGGTGGTTGGTTGGCTGTGGGAAATACAGATCTGAGGCTGAGAGAAGAGCTGGAGAGGTGAATTTGAGAGTCATTAGCATTAAGTGATACTTCATGCCTCTGCTGGAATGAATGAAGTTGTCCTGGGAGCAGATAAGGAAAATGCCAGGAAAATGAGGCTTCAGTGAAGATTGATAAAAGTTTATCAGGAGGGTAGGAAGAGAGGAGAGATTCATATCTCAGAAGGCCAGGGGATCTTTTAATGTCAACAACTAGAGAGAGGTAGGGCAGGATAAGGATTGGATAAAGCTCTTGGTGATTATGAGTGATCCTTGAGAGTGTGTCTCTGATTATCATGTCTTCTTAAGAAAATGTTTTGTAATTTTCATTGTTTGCACATAGTTATAATCATCATACAGTATTTATTGAAAAGGCCTTTTGTTGAGGTTTATTGTTATGATTTCCAAAAGTTCCCCTGTGCTTTGCTTTTTGTTTTTAAAGCAAGTCAATTGTACTTTAAGCAAAAAAAAGTAAGAATCAGTTCTTTTTCTTTTAAGATTGTATTTATTACTTGAGAGAGAGAGAGAGAGAGCACAAGCGGGGAGGTGGGGGGAAGGGGCAGAGGCAGAGAGAGAAGCAGACTCCCTGCTGACCTGAGCTGAAGGCAGACGCTTAACTGACTGAGCCACACAGGTGCCTCTAAGTAAAAATCCGTTTTTTGTGGAGTGGTATCAGAAAGGCATAATTTGGTATGAGAACTTTTGTTTGCAAATAAGCTTATTTTTTTTTAAAGATTTTATTTATTTATTTGACAGAGAGATAGCACAAGTAGGGGGAGCTGCAGGCAGAGGGAGCGGGAGAAGCAGGCTCTGTCCACAGAGCAGGGAGCCTGATGTGGGGCTCGATCCCAGGACCCTGGGATCATGACCTGAGCCGAAGGCAGACACTTAACCAACTGAGCCACCCAGGCGCCCCGCAAATAAATTTATTTTTATTAAGAGAGAAAATTTCTACATTTAGTAGCAGGTTTTTTTTTTTCCTTTTACATATGGGAAACTCAAACTCAATTTGTACGTACCCTTTAATTTAAAGTTGAAAAATGGTTTTCATTTATGAATTTTGATGTTTTTGTAGTTTAACATTTTCTTTTGTCATTAACTCATAAAGTTGGGTTGTTTTTTTTAAAAAAATTTGAGCTATTGAAAATTGGGTTCAGTCAATTATTTTGTAACTCTTAGTTGCCAAGTTATAGATTAAACAGTGCCATAGCATTTTCTAGAAATGAAATTTGAACTAGAGTTGAGAGAACCATCTTTCAAACTTAAGAAGATCTGAGAATGTATACTGGTCAAATACAGTTTTAAGAGCTTGTTTGTTTTTTATTTTTAATTGTATAAGTAATATATGAATTTTTTTCTTTTTGTAGAATTTTAAATTGTGGTATTACAGATAATCCTAATTAATTTTGACTACTGACTCCCTCCCCTTCCTAGAAGTAACAACTGTTATCAATATTGGGCATAATATTTTATATTAGGCATTTTCATATGCCAGGTAGTTAGTGAAAAAACTCGATTATGGATCAGTTAAAAACTTGAGACGTAGGAACTATGCAATAAAAAGATAGGAAGTTGCAAAATTAAGGTTTTAAAAATCTTTTACTGTATGATATATTGTTCTAAGGTACAGTGTCTTCTCTTAAAAGGAAAGAAAAAGAGAAGAGAAAAACTTTATGTAGGAATGTATTTCCATTTCCAGTGAGAATCATAATACAAAAATTAAAACATATATTTTATCTTCTTTTTTTTGAAGATTTTACTTATTTTACAGAAAGAGAGAGAGTTAGCGAGAGCAGAAACACAAGCACTGTAGTCTACCTTCCCATATTTTTTTCCTGTTCTTACATCCTAGAGATTTCCTTTTTCCAAGCCGAAAAAAATGTGGATTCTCCCCAGGGCAGGAGACTTAACTAGGTGTAATTTTTAAAAGATTTTTATTTATTTATTTGAGAGAGAGCGTACAAGCAGGGGGAGAGGCAGGCAGAGGGAGAGGGAGAAGCAGGTTCCCCGCCGAGCAGGGAGCCCAATGCAGGGCTCCATCCCAGGATCCTGGGATCCTGACCTGAGCCGAAGGCAGACGCTTAATGACTGAGCCACCCAGGTGCCCCTATATTTTATCTTATGTGTATTTTCTAGGTATTTTAGTTTGAGAGAGACACGTTCTCTCAAACAACTAAACTGTGGTTATCTTAGTAGACTTTGGCAACTTTTTTTCTTTTCCCTCAGTTCATTACAGTATAAAAGAATTTCACTGGGATGTCAGAGACCTGAATTCCATTCATGACTCTATCATTTACTAGCTGTGTGACCTTAAACACATAATTTTACCTTCTTAGGCCTGGTTTATCTATAAAATAAGGCTGAGTTTAAGTAAGATTCCTTAAGGTCTTTTCCAACTCTTCGATTTGTCATTTCTGCTGGCATTTAGCTCTGAAGTCAAACCTACCGTTTAAAAATTGCCTAAGACTACACTTCTATATCCGTTTGCATAGGGTCTGTATCAGTTATCTATTGCTACATAACAAACCATTCCAGTACTTGGTGGCTTAATACATCAACCATATATTTGGCCATGATCCTGAGGGTTGTCAATTTGGGCTGAGCTCAACTGGGTGGTTCTTCTGCTGGTCTCACCTGGGGTCGCTGATGTGCAGTTATCTGGGAAATTGACTGGACTGAATGGACTGACTCCTCTATCTGATGGCTCGTGCTGGCTATTATCTGGGTCTTCCTTTCCACATGATATTGGGGTTTTAAGAGGCTAAACCCTACTGCACAGATGTTTATTAATTAAGATTCTGCTTGCATCACATTTGCTGATGTCCCATTTGGCAAAAGCAGGTGACATGGTCAAACCCAGAGTCTGGTGGAGGGGACCACACAATGGCATAGATCAAGGAAGTATGATTTATTGTAGACCATTGATACACTGGACTGCTACCACAGAGAGCAAAAGGTGTCTACCTAAACTCTATGTAGTAAGGCAGCATCAGAGTTTTGCTGTTGACTGAACTGCTGTTGTTGACTATCTGCCAGAATTTATTTAGTCTTCTGGTCCTTTTTCATCCTGAATAGGCAGTCACAGTTGTCACTGCTTTTATCTGCTCTTTCAGCCATTTCTACTAGTGTCCATGTAGGAACAGGACTGTCAGGATTTGCCAGTTGGTGATCTGTATCAGGATGAAATTTCCAAGAATAGGTTGTGTCTAAAAATGGGACCCAAATATCACACAGTTTTTATAGATGGCAAGAAAATGCTACTTAGAAGTGGTGCTGGAAAGCTGAGAATACTTTTTTTTTTTTACTTAGAGACCAATAGAGATGGTTTCTGTGCCCACAGTTCCTTCATTTCTTATGGTGTTTCCTCTCCTTGTCTTATTTTAAGGAACTAATACAGCATCTGGTATGTGTATGTGTATGTATTTGTTTGGTCTAAGCTCTTTCTGTCTGTGAGTTTGTCAGGACTGTGGGGAAATGAAATAGTACCTTTAAATTGTTGGATAGTTTGTTCCTGGGAGGTTTTGTTGCTGTTGTTGTGTTTTGTTTTTTGTTTTTGTTTTGTTTTGTTTTGAGGTGGTTGATTTCATGACCACTAAGGTAATGAGTTAAGTTTGTTCAAAATAGTAAACACTAAACTATATTTTGAACTATTAGAGTCACAAAATTTATGCAGCTGATCAGAGAAGGGTTTCCCTTTGAGAAGACAAGAACCATTCAACTCTTTCATGATAGTGAGTACCATGGATGCATGAGATAGGAAATAGGAGGAAGAAGGTACTTGGCTTCTGGGAATTTTTACCTATGAACTAAGAGAGGATTCTCTTTTGGGAAAGGCACCTATGACAGAGAAGATGTATATCCAGTGATCTGAGTTGTGAGTCATAAATGGATTAGGTAGATTCCTACTCTAGTTTTCAGAAGCATTGCTGGTAAAATATACTTTGGTTAGGGGAGCCTGGAAATTACATCAGCATTTAAAGCACAGTGCCATTGTGACTATTTGTTGAAAGAATAAATGAATCAAACCAGTAAACTTCCAAATAAACTTTTTTAAAAACTCTGTTTTTAAGTTGGGGGCTTGCTTTGGTGATACTTGTAAATATCGACATACATATTCATAAATTATGTATAAATCTAAAAATCCTGGAAATTGTAGAATAGGAGTCTTAATGAGGAATCTACCAGTGAGTTTCTGGATGGTGAGTAAACTCTTTTAAGATTATATGCCAGATAATATCTGTGCATTTTTCTGGGGAGAGAACACAAACGATGCATAGATACCAAGATTCTTAAAGGTGGAAATGAGTTGTTCTTGAAATGTAAGACCTTCAGCTATGGGATATATAGATCTATTTCTGTATGTACATGTGTGCATATATATATATCAAACTGTTACACATTGCCTTAATGTTTATACCTGGAGTGGAATCAATGGTAAATGGAACCACTTGAAAGAATTATGATAATCATGATCCTTTGTGACACGCAATATTTAATACTTCGTCATAATTCTATATCCTAAGCCATTCCTGGTATTGTATTGATTTGCCAGGGATTTGATAAAATCTGTAGGTAAAACATATCAAGAAATTTGTATGATTTGACTCTTAGCCTGAACTTCTTCAACAGTATAAAGAATATTTGGGTGTTACAGTTAGTACCTAAATCCTGTACTTGACTTTTAGTCTATGTATTTGGTACTGGAAGAATTTTTGTTTTCCCATCATTTTGTATCTTAAGTTTAACCAAACAAAGGCTGAAATATATTATTTTCCTGGTGCCGTTTCTTAACAAAATTTGAATGAATTATGAATTCCATATACTCACAAGAAGATTTTGACCTTTACATTAGATTTCATCCAGTATACTTTAAAGAAAGTTGGAAGGATTTGTGCTTAATTGTGAGGACCAGTTTATTAATTTTAAAATTTTACATGTTTCAAGCTTTATGTGTTACTGGATATAACTGATGAATTTTCAGTAGTTCTCTTTTGGGTTATATATTAATACAGTTGCCCTTCTAAAGAAAATATTTGTAGCTGTGTATTTTAATATTTTCCTTAAAATTACACATATGTAGATAATGTTTGTAGTTTGAGTTCCAGTTCATGAAAAGGAAGATAAGCTTATCAAAATTTTAATATGGTTAAATTTTTTTAACAATTTTTTATTGAGGTGTAATTTACATGCCATAAAACTCACTATTTTAACATACAATGCACACATTGTATATATTCACAGATTTGTGCAACCATCACCACTGCCTAATTCCAAATAAAATTTTAAAGGTTTTTCTGGGTTTGTTTTCTTGTCCTGTCTTTCCTTTCCACTTGATACACAAAAAATTGGTATATCTTGACAGAAATTTTTTACTGTTTCCTTAAAGTTTTCAAATGTGGAACTAAAAGACCAAGATAGGTCAGAAGAGAAAGGGCATGAAGTATAATTAGGACCCTTAAAGTAAAAATTCTTATTTGATAAAAGAAAGCAAACTTTGTCTTCAGTATATATCTTTTGTTAAAGCTTTTGTGTTGACTCTTGGAATAAATTGCCAGTCATATGCAAAACTGTGTCTGCTTCTTAAAACTTGAATTGAGGAAGGAAATGCTTTGTACCAACATGGCAAATACTATATTATAATAAGAACATTTCTGTTTCTTCCTCTCATACAACTTTGTTCATTGTACTGTATCTTTCTCTGAGAGGTAGAAACTCTTTAGGGAACTGCCCTGAGTGTGTGTGTGTGTATGCATTGAAGCAGCTTAAGCGGTGTTTATAATGTTTTGATAAAAGCAGATTTTAAAATTGTTGTTTTAATCTCCCAGATTTTCAAGTCAGTTTTCAATATTGTTAGTGATGTATGATATTGTTTTTTTTAATAGGATTTTATGAACTCTTACTAAATGGAGATGGGTCTGCCTCGATAGAACATACGGTTTATTCATAGTTTTAACCGCTTGGGAGGATTAGTTTGCACTATCATTGTACATTGCTTTTTACATGGTGGAATGTATTCTGGGTGAAAACGTGAATCTGAATAAGTACTGAAAAATGCAGTTGCATATAATTACAGCTGAGTTTTTATCTAATCATCTGATTCAAAATGACCCAGAAAAGGGTCTGCCAAGGGGCAGGGGGAAATGAGGCACTTTTCATTCTTTAGAATACAGAAAAAAACCTTAAAAAAAAAAAGAAAGAAAGAAAGAAAACACCTTGACCAAAAAGCTGTCACAGAATTTTGAGACCCAATAAAATAAAAGTTTAATGAGGAAAAAAAATACTTTATAAAAATGGATTTTTTAGTATCAATAGGTACAAATTAATTTAAAATATTTTCTGTAAGGTATTATACGTAACAGTGCTAATGATGATACGAAATGTTTCCCTTATATTGTTTTTTTCCCTATAGGAAAAGTAGCCATCAAAAAAGAAGATCTGTGTAACCACAGTGGCAAAGAAACCTGGTTTTCACTACAACCTGTCGATTCCAATTCGGAGGTTCAGGTAAATATTAAGGCTTAGATGATGTGAGAGACTGTCAGCATAGAGAAAGCGAGTGGAAAACAAACTGTACTTGTTTCTGTAGACAGTGCTTATCATACATTACTTTAAATTCTGGGACCAAATATTATAGAGCTTTAGGTAATATATAGCTGCAAAGAAATGTCTTGCCACATGAATTCAAGAATAATGCACATTGTGGGTGTGTGTCTGAGTTTGGGGAGGTTATATTAGGGGGATATTTCCTGCTTTAGTTCTTTTGTTTGAGTCACAGTGGCAAATTATTAATTTTTTTTTAAGATGGGAAAATTTTTTTTTTTTTTAAAGATTTTATTTATTTATTCATGAGAGATAGAGTGGCAGAGGCAGAGGGAGAAGCAGGCTCCCCGCGGAGCAGGGAGCCCGATGCGGGACTCTATCCCAGGACCCTGGGATCATGACCTGAGCTGAAGGCAGACGCTTAACCGACTGAGCCACCCAGGCGTCCCAAGATGGGAAAATTTTTTAAGAGAAAGGTTATGTTTTATTAATTCTGACTTTGAGGAGAATCCTTGAAGTCTGTGATTTCATTTCTTCTGACCAGGATGCTCTGTTTACTCTCTTAATAAACTGGTCTTGGGAAAATGTTATTCATTCAAACCATGCCTGAGCCCACCTTGAAGAGCCTTTTCATTCCCACACCCACCCTCTTCCTGTTGTTCACCTTTCTTTTTATTTGAAAGGGTGTCATTACTCTTTTTAAAGCTCTTCTTTCCTCTTGCCAAAATAAGAGGTCTTACAGATCTATATGTGAGTAAAGATGTATGTTTAGCCCCAAGTAGCTTAGCTTTCTATTTGTTTTTGAAAAGTCTGAGTTGCTCTTAGAAATTGTTATTTCCATCTAAAGGGAATCCTTTTTTTGTAACTCTTTATTTATAAAATATGGTAAGGATTGTGAAACCATTGTGAAACCCGAGGACATACTGCAAGCAGAATTCTTCCTTTCTCAAAGAAGTTATAATTTGCCACTGTGACTCAAACAGAAGTTTAAGACAAGAAAAAAGTGCTGCATATACACCCACAGATATTTGCAAATAAAGTGCCTGTGTCTCTGTTTCCTCATAACCTCTGAAGCGTTCTCTTTGATTAAATTCTCAAAAACTTAAGTATTTGTATATAAAACCCCTTCTTAAGTACAAAATAATTGAAATTTTTCCTATTTTATTCACTCGACCTCATTTCCACTTGGCAATAACTGTCGTTCAGATCCCACTTGGCCACTATCGTGTGTGACCCAGGTGAGAGGCAGTGTGACGAAATGGAAAAGCTTTTACACGAGAAGTCAGAAAATTTAGGTGCTAATTTTCATATGTGGTTACTTCACTGACCTTGAATTTTATTTCTATAAAATGGGCATAAAAGTTGCCATGTTGACTCATAGGATTGCGAGAATTAAGTGAAATGTCTTTTTTTTTTTTTAAGATTTTATTTATTTATTTGACAGAGAAAGACACAGTGAGAGAGGGAACACAAGCAGGGGGAGTGGGAGAGGAAGAAGCAGGCTTCCCGCCGAGCAGGGAGCCTGATGCGGGGCTCGATCCCAGGACTCTGGGATCATGACCTGAAGGCAGACACTTAACGACTGAGCCACCCAGGCGCCCCTAAGTGAAATGTTTTTAACAGTGTTATGAAAGCTGTCAGTTGCTACACAAATGTAAAATACCTGTCTACCGGCAGTCGCTCTGTGGTCCTTTCCATTTCCATAATATAACTTTACCAAAAGGCAGATAGGAAAGAAAGTATGTTTTCCTTTTTAATTATTTTAACAAAAAGCAAGATAAGAAAAGGCTTTGAGAATTTAGTGTAAAATGAAATTTGAGGATTATTTTAAGATGTAGTTTATTGAAGTTCCAATAAAAATGTAAATATAAATATTAACTTGCTAAAGGATTCAAGGCCCCCAACTCTCAAAAAGTAGAAATCTCTCTAGAATACTCTGTGTAATTGTTGGAGATGGTATTAAAGATTAGTATTGGATAACAAGCTTTTATTTAGTGGTATATGTAAAACTCATCTCTGAAACATAAAAATTCTGGAAATAACAATTATTAGAGATAATGTCAGCATTTTTTACTTGTTATAAGTGATTTTCATGACCATGAGTTATTAACCTTTATAGGTCTTTTGCTTAAATGATACTTAATTAGACCTAATTCTTTAAAATACATTTTAGGAGGAAAAGTGCTTTAGTGGGTGGGAGGGATACAGAACCCCTTTCAGGTTAATATAGTACTACTGGAAATGTTGTTTGGCCCCAGAACTAATCTAGGAATACTAAATTAACTCTGTGAGCCTAGAAAAGATAGAAGAAGAAGCCCATGATTCATACAAATCCTATTTTGTTAATAAATTTGTTCACTTGCATAAAGTTTATAAAATTTTACAAAAATATCATGGAAATAATAGCAATTGATGGAGCCATAGGAGAAAGCTATGAGAAGGATTGAGTTCAGTAGGAATTCCACCTAATAATTACTATTAGTGGTTAAACAGTATGTAAGCACAGTATTACGTACTTAATATATATTTTTTCATTTATTCTTCAGAAAAGCATTATGAGGTGTAGGAAGCGTTACCCACATTTTACAAATATAGAAAATGGATTCAGAGAGGTTAAATGACATCTCCAAAATCAGAACTATTAGGTGATGGAGCCCTGGTTCCAGTAGAGATCTAGTCTGATTCTAAAATTCCTAAACATGGTGCTTTACTGCTTTTCAGTCTTCGTAGTTTTGGTCACGAAAAGGCTTCAACAGATTATTAGGCGGGGACATGTGAGTATAGTAAAGTATAAGGAACAGAAGCCTACTCAAATTAGCTCAAAGAAAAAGGGAGGGGCATTTGAAAGTTCCTAGGGAACTTCTTGGAGTATCATTACAGGAACTTCAATAAGAGCTGGAAGTTGTCAGGCATTTACTGAGGAGCTGTCTCTAAAGTGGAGGTCGAGTTCTTACAATAATAAACTAGATACAGTTCACAGAGTCAAAATCGTTCTTGAAAAGTTTTTAATTTCTCATAAAGTATACTAAAATATTGGGTGGTTTGTTTCTACTTGATCACTACATTAAATAGTTGACTTGCATTTGGGACCATGGTGAATAAAAAAATATATATTGTGTTTTTAAACTGTGGACTTACACTCAGTGCAGCCGTAGATACTGCAAGGGGCACTTGGGAACCGAGATCCACTGATTTCATTTCTTCCCACTCGTACACTCACTGTGCTCATTGAGTATAAGTGCTCACTGTTTAAATAGTGTTTTTTCTTTCCCTCTTATTTTGTAAATGAATAGTTAATATTTTCTGTCTTGCTCTCTCATTTTAATACTATTCACTTTGCAAAATGAAAGGAAAAAAACCACTAATGATGAGATTCCCTTGTATTCTTTTTGTACGTCTGATGAGATTACATGTTTCTCACTTCTGCTTCTCTTTAATCTCTTGTTAATGGCTAAAAAAATGCCCACATCAGCCTTTGAGTTTACATGACCATACCACCCCTCACTTTCTGAGATCTGAGTTAGTTCTCTGCCGCAATTTAGAAAATTTGGCCCAACTAGGGCCAGATGTCTACTGCATACTAGTTGGTATGACTGAGGGGATAAAGTCACTGTAGAACAGGCCGTTTTGGGGCTTTGGGTAGGCATGATCCCTAAGAAAGGGGTTTAGATAGAGGAAATGATTGGCATTTCTGCTTCAGAGGGTAAGTTGTTTGTTTTCCTAGCTCTACTACTAATTGCCATTTGTACCCAAAACAGTTGCTAACCTGTTGTTGTCTGAGGGTCTTCATCTTTGAAATGAGAACTTCAGTGTATGGGATTCCCTTCAGTTCTGAAGTTGTAGGGAAGTAACATGCAGAAACGTAATTTAGCCTTGAATTGAAAAGATCCCAACAGTAGTGAGATGGGTTTTATACTAAAACAGTTGAAAATTGCAAAGAACACTAAACCTCTTACCTTAGATTGGTTCCCAGATGCTTTATTATTGCTGTTAATAATGTTAATCATTTTCAGTTTTCTTTTCAAACATTCAAGATATTATTAATATTTCATGAGTGCATTTTTCTACACTTTTTTTTCTGTTCTTTTTGTTTGTTTGTTTTGTAGTTACTCTCTGTGGATTGAAACATTCTCTTCTGAACCCACTCTGATCCGCCTTCATACTCCACAATGAGCTAGAGGGAGAGCACAAAGGGCTCTCACTAACGTTACCCATGACATTGTGTCAATAAGTCTGGTGGACATTTTTCAGTCCTCCTTTTATATGATCTTTCAGTGCTTTTCATAATGTTGACCACTCCTTTTTGAAACATTCTCTTCCTTAGTTTCTGGTTGTGGTTATCATCCTACTTCACTTGGTATTCTTTCTACTACTCTTTGCCACACAAGTGAAGTTAATTTGGATTGTATTGGTGCCTCTCTCTATACATCCTCTTTTGGCTTCAGTGATCTGCAGCCATGCTCTTAGCTATATAGTGCTGGAACTCACAACAAACTTGAAATATTTTTCTTTAGTTCTTAGGTGCTGAGATAAAGAGCATACGTTCACATAAGACCGATTAAACCATTTCTCTTATATGGAGAAGTTGGTACTCTCATTAATTAAGGCTGTTTGTCTCACAGAACTTGTACAAGAGGCAAATCTAGATGTGCTGTCAATCACATCTTCTGATGTAATTACTTAGTTAATAAGTCTTTCTTTACCAGCAAGCTTATCTTGAATTTCTGGATCATGCCATAAGTTATTGATTGTTTTATGGTTGTTGTTGTTATTGTTTTTAATATGGCCTCTGCCCTATCTATTTAAACAAGTGTTAGAAATAACAAATGCAGTGATTATACCTAATAATACATACATCTGTCTTTTTAAACATGCCTGATTAAAACATAATGAATGTAAAGGTATAATTCATTGTTGCAGGAAGAAACTTCATTTGTAAATTTATAAACATGAAATAACAAAGA